ATTATTATTATTATTATTGTTGTTGTTGTTCTTGTTGTTATGTTTTTATAATGGCCATATTGAGTGGTGGAAAACAGGTTTTCCTATTTTTATTATGCTAATATGTCATTATAATTATTATACTATTATTAATAATATGATTATTATTATTGTTATTATTATTATTATTATAAAGATATACATTTTATTATGCGAAATCTATTTTTATTAGAAATATATTAGTAGTAGTAGTATTTTATAATTTTTTATATTATATTATTGTAAATATGTATATTTTATTATGCTCATTATATTCATTATTATTTTATTATTATTATTATTATTATTATTGTCATATTAAATGGGGGGAAACTGGTTTTCCTTTTTTGTCCTTAGCATATCACATGGCTGAGCAAAGCAAAATAAACCTAATTGAAAATAAATAAATAAAAGTAATCAAAATATAACAGAACAGCTGAGTTTACTGTCCGTTTTGAGTGATATGAAAGGTTATCAGACTTAATAAGCTGTGGTTTTACAGCAGCACATCCCATCGTAATGATTTCCTCCTGAGCTGCGTCACGCTCTGCTAGTTTCTGCCTTCCTCTGACCTTGAAGGCCTCGCTCCTCTTCTGTCTGCTTCCCTGATCCCGCAAACGTCTCCCAATTCTTTCTGAAGCGCAGTCTGTCATAACTCATACTGCAAGTGAGTGAGAGAGAGAGCTACAGAGCCTCACATCAGTCTGCTTAGTTTGCAGGTTTGACTATTTCTCTGTCATCCGCATTCACTGCTGTTTGAATTGGTTTCTCAGCAGTTCCTGGTTTTATGTCGCCGCTGATTTATTCCCCTACCGCTCATTCTAGAGCTTTCTTTACTATAAAGACGACTACTAAATCAAGACATTTACTTTTATGACACAAAGTGAATCTTCCTCATGAATTCCAGACGTTTCTTGTTTTGTCGAGTGCAGTCATGTACTGGGGGTTTATGGTCTGTAAAGCCATGCCCTATGGTAACTAACGGCAACACCGGCTGGCATCTGCCCTTTGGAAGCTTGTAGAATCCTCATTTAGCTTTTGTGCAAAAAAGTACAATCAATATACACAAGAAAAAAGTTCTAAATAAAAATGATAAATATTATTATAAATACAGTACTGTGTTTACTGTACTTAAAACATTATTACATGCAATAATATTTAATGCTTTTGAGCTTTTGGCAACAAATAAATAAAATTAAAATATGTGAATAAAATATTTCATGAAACATTTATTTATTTATTTGCTAAATTAATACATGTAAAAAAATATATTTTTAT